TTAAAGAAAAAAAAAGTATTAAACATTACTTTTTATATTTCTTACTGAATAAACATATAAATATATTTATTATTGTAAAGAAGGTAAACAATTAGTACGATAAAAAAAACTTTAACATATTAATAAACAAATTTCATCTCTCGCAATAAATTACCAAAAATGTATTAAAATATTCTTCATAAAACTAGTCAATACTAGTCTCAATAAACCACAATTCCATTAGAAAAATGGTAAAATTGAAATTAACGAAAGAATGACGAAAATTAAGACTTGTATTGCAATTTTTCTTGCAAAAAATGAGCCCTAAGCAAAAAAAAAGGATCAATAGATCGAAGTCGTCCAGGGTTCTCATCACAGTGAATGACAGAAACAGAATTCAACGAACAATGTCTCCAAATCATACTGTATTATTTGCAAGATACTCGTGGCTCTCTACCTATAGTACAGAAAAACATTTAACACTAAAAATCGTCAAATTGTATTTTCTCTTTCTCCACTGACCGTTTAGATCAATGAATTTTTTCACACGCTCACTTTCTCGCACTCTCACTCTAAACAGTCACTCTCTCTCGCTTTCACGCTTGTGTATTGTGTATCACTCGTTCTTACGAATTCAACCGTTCGCCATGCCTGCGTATATGTATGTAAAACAACGCGCGACACACATTCCCGATATATGGTGTAATGTGTGCCCTATACATATACACACACATATAGAATAATGAATAAACTTTTTTTACTTGAAATCTCACGCGTACGTTATAATCCATACGATATTAATTCTTTTTAATATATATATATATATATACAGATATATACTTATATATACGTATACATATACATATACTTATATTTCTTGTTATTTATTGATTTGTTTCATTTGCATTTCTTCTTTCTTTAATTAATTGAGTGTCAGTTTTGTATCTTCATCATCGTCGTTAGTAGTGTTAATTATTTAATTACCTATTTATTTATTTATTTATCTTTCACCACGCATTTTTTGCTCCGCTCTTCTGTTTCATTTGAACCTTTGCAATCGTTCCCTCGTTCCATGGTCTTCGAAGATTTTTCCGTTCGCTTGTGGATGTTTAAAGTCATTATCGACTCGATTAAAATCTTGGTATATTTCTTCCTTGCGATGATTTTGCGCGACAAGACAATCGTAAGGAAATTCAAGTAATCCTAACTTTTAACTGAACGTTTATTTCCATTTAAGTAGTTTAAAAATTCGGATTATTGAGTTTTATGTAATTGAAAAATAATTTCCGTCATCTTCCATACAAAACTTTATTTCTGCTTAATTATTTCGATCTATTTAAGTGTACAACCTATGTAATCGAGAGAACAACCATTTTAATTTAGAACTAGACGTTAGCATTACGTTAAGTATAAAAATTTCCGACAACTTTTCCGGTAACTTAATCTAAAACCTCTCGTTGGCTCTAATTGAAAGTTCATTTCCCTTTAATTAATAAATACTAGTAAAATTTTTATAAATCATGCTTTTTTCTTCGTTGAAAAATCTTTTTTTTCTGAAACTCAAAATAATTTGTTGCAAAACAGAGAAAATCATTTTCGACTGATTTGGAAAACAAATAAATCGTCAGAGAGAAAGAGACAGAAATATAAAACAACGCATATTTTACAACGTTCTCTTTAACTATACAACTTTTATTAATTTTCACTGTGTAACTGTCATAATTTTCAATTTTTACAATAATTTATGATCGTATAACTCTCCATTTTTAGCATACTTTTTTGTTTTCTTTTTTTTAAATTTTTATTTTTTATAAAGTTCCTCTCGTAGTCATACGATATTTCTTAATTACATATTACTAATACACGATTTTTTTTCTTAACCTTTCTGTTTCGTTTATTATCGATCGAACCTAGGGCGAGTAAAATCGAATGAAGACGTATCGATCGTCGATAGACCGACGTTACGATCGATCGATCGAAGGTATCGATCGTAACGGCTCGTAACAATAGAAAATAATAAAAATTCGTACGACGATTAAAAAAGAGAGAAAAAAAATGAATACCAAAAAGAAAAAAAGAAAAAATGGTTAAAAAGCAAGGATTATTGCTTCACGGTAGTATGTTCGTTTGCTGTGAAAAATCAGGTGGAAATTGAACGATCGTCGAACATGAAACACGATACTCTCATCTCTCCTAACCTTAACTTACGATAATGAAAAGATAATCGAATATTCCCTTTTATTCGTATATATTATCTTTTTACTCTTATGTTTTTCTTTTGCTTCTTATTCTTCTTCTTTTGTTGTTTCATTAAGAGCTAACAATTGATACAAAAATCGACTCGTTGACGATACGATTAGAAAGGCTATCAGGATAATCGACGAGGGATCAATTAATCGTAGTTGTGTCGACGAGAGGCTCTTTTTTCGTTAATTTCTTCTCGATAGAAAAAGTGTCGCTGACTTATCAGCCATTATGCGAAGGATAATGAGACGTTTAAAATAAAATGAGCAGAATGAGGCAAGATGTTAAAAAAAAAAAAAAGAGTAAAATAAAAATTCTTTAAACACAATAAAATGTTCGGCGAAGAGAATTAAATTTGAAGATGACCGTTAAACGGAACCAAAATTTTAATTAGCACTTTTAACCAAACGTTAATGATTAACGGTACTAAAACGATGGAGGTTATGGCTGAAATTTAGTAAAACAAAGATTAAGTTTAACACAAAGTATGAATAGAAGCAACTATTGTGAAGTGAGACGATAAAAAACCGGGGAGGATAGCGACAGAAAAAATCGAATGAGATGAGTTAAAAACCTACCTGAAGAGATGTTCATCGTCTGGCGGTCAGAAACAAGGCGAAAACACAAAAGCACGTCCCGTAGCGAGAAACGACTCGGTAACTCGCTGGCGATCGATTATGGGAACGAGGGAACAACCTCAAGATGATGGTGAATTACAGGGCTAAAAAGAGGAAACGAGAAAAGGGTCGTCTTGGCAGGTGTTTATAAACGTCACCCTCGATTTTATTCGAGCTTCTTCTCCATCTTCGATTTTCGATCTGTTCCTCGTTCTAGATCACCGTATCATCGTTAAAACCATCTCACTTCTTTTTCCAAAATTGTGTCTATTATTTCTAACATTTCTTCAACCATCAGCGCCATCTGTTCGCTCAAAATTTCGTCCGCCATGTTGATTTTAACCTTGAATTTTCGCTCCAGCTATTTCTTTTTCGTATTTCCCTTCGCCATCCTTAAGGTCCCCTTCTTCTTCTTCGTCTTATGGTTCTTCAAGCCAGTTCTTTGTTCAGACTCTGGAAAATTTCAATCGTGTCCATGCAATGATCCACAGGTTGATGATTTTAGTTAGCAATCATCCTTGTTCTCGTCCTCGTTGCCGTAACATCGTGTACTTTTTGGTGGGTCTCGCGCGTATTGTGTTATGTATTCGCTTGTGTGTCTGGTGTAGATGTGTGAGATCGAGTCAGAGAGCCGACTGCTGGACTCTAGCTGAAGAGGCACGCGATGTCGCGAAATTGTTGCTGCAAAAGTATTATCTGCTCCACGTTTCGTCTCCACATCCTGGAACAAACGGCAACGCCGCGGTCAACACGCGTTTCACGTTTGATTTGATCCTCGTCACAATAAACTATTCCATCTATTTTATTTGACTAATGATTTCTTTCAATACGAATTTACGCTAATATATTGAGTTTCGGTTCGAGGATGATTGAATTTCTCAAGCTGTGTAACATTTAACGCGATATACAGGGTGTTCATTATCATGCTAATAATACTGGTAGTTACGATTTTTGGGTCACTTAGGATGATACGACATGGAAGAGTTGCGTATAAAATTACTTATAAAAAAAGTAATGTGACTTTAATTTTTTTAATATTTCAAAGAGAATTGAAACATTTCAGTAGGAGGAGATGCGATAATTTTGTTGAAAATAAGTGTACAGTATAATATAATGTAATATAGTATACATAAGTAAGGTTCGTCTACTATTTGCGCCTACGTTTGTCTCATTCTTTTAATGTAACAAAACTGTTTTAAAAGTTTTGACTCTTAAACAATAATAATTGTAAAAAAGTGATCTATTTTATATGACATTTTTTTCTGTTAAATTAACGTAAGTGATTTAAAAATCATGGAATACTATTATAACATCCACCCTATATAAACATACAATATACTAAGTTCTCCCTTCAAGATATTCTTGGAAAGCTATAAATACA